AAAAATTTAAATGCAATGTCAATTGTCATCTTCTTTCTTAATTCTTGTTTTTTTTTTTTATTGTTCTCACTTTTTAATAGTGTTTTTTCTTCTCATATTTTCTAACACTCAGTAACACCTTACATCTTAGGGGCTTTATTGCCTTTCTTGGGGTGAAATGATTAAAAAAAAAAATCTTCTCCTTAGACTGACTGCTATACAAAATTAGAGGGGGATGGCGAAAAAGGGTGTTAGTTTGAAATTGAATGCAACAGTTACAGCTAAGCCCCTCCACACCATCTACACAGGTTAAACCATCCTTATTTCCTTCATATTCCACTGGTAATAAGAAAATTTTATTCCTTATTTGCAAGGGCTGCTGCCTTTTAGAATAAACTCATGAGATGATGCTTCCTTGATCACTACAATCTTAGCCATGTCTAGTGCCAATCGTTATCTATCCTACATCTCATAGTCTATAATTCTCATGTCCATAAAACAGGTCCATTCTGTAATTCTCTACCTTGAGTGGCTCTTGAGTCTTTTATTAGGTGAACAATGATGTTAAAAAAAAGAAACAAACTTTTGAGTGTATCATTTATGTGAATTTGATTAGTTCAGAGATTTTAAATGAGAATTTTTTTTTTTTTTTCTGAAGTTTTATGGCATGGACAAAAAAAAAAAAAAACTTTTCATAAGTGCATGAATTATTTCAGCTATTATGTTTCAAGTGATTTTTTTTTTTTTGGTCTCCTTTTGTTTTGAGAATGCCTTGACAGGAAAGCAGACATTCACTGTAAACGAACGTACTTTTCAAGTCAAATTGTAAAAGGTTTTATATTCCCTACCAATCCCACTGCCACAAAAATATCACTAGAATTTATTAAATTAACTATTTTCATTAATTCCCATTTTTTAAAATGGATATTTTGTAGAAGACTTTTTTTTTTTTTCTGAATTAAATTTAACTGTCAACACATCTGTCATGCCATAATGGGGAAAAAAAAAATACAAACACCAATTTCAAAAGCACTAAACAAACTGCTTCTATATAATGTAAAAACAATCATTTTTGTATCAGATTTTTCTCCAACTTTTCTATGTTTTAGTGGCATAAATGTGGGAAAGAAAAAAATTAAATCATATATGTCTAGAAATATTTAGGTTTTCCAAATTCAGGACTTGGGTGGGGTAAAGGGACTATGTCTCTCACAATCAAACAAACAAAATAAACAGGATCAAAACAAACTACAAAAAGAATAAAATTAAAATTAATAAAAAGTGAAAATAAACGCATCAAAAACAGGACTCAATAGTCCAAACCAGACAATCTTAAATAGAACCCAATCCAAAAAAGAGCAAAAACACATTACAAAACCGACTAAACACAAGATTTTGACATGATTATTAGTAATTATACTATTTCACGTGCAAAATAATCCTCAGATTGTTCGAAGGAACCTCATGACACTTAACATTAAGTTCAAGTTTTCTCAACTAGTAATATTTGATATTCATCGGTTATTTGGCATTGGAATATTTTTCAGGGAATAACAAAAGTTTGTTTCATCCATTTTAAAAAGAGGCTCTAAGTCCATAGTACTTTACTGCATTTATAGTAGCTAGGAGAGAACTGAAAAAGCACAACCAAAAAATAAATAAATAAAGAAAAAAAACAAAAAGAAAAAACAACTGAAAAACCTGCATAATCTCAGCAGAAATAATCCAGACCATAATATATATATATATATATATATATATATATATGTCTTTCCAAGAATGCAATATATTATGGTTTTGAAATTCAAAGCATTTTTCTTCATGTAGCTTTTTAAAGTTGTGTAAAAAGACACACATTAAACAATTCTCTCAAATGCATATATATATATATATATATATATATATATATATATATGATGTGTATATATATATATATATATATATATATATATATATATATGTGTGTGTGTATATATATATATATATATATATATATATATATATATGTGTGTGTGTATATATATATATATATATATGTACACATACACACACACAATTGTATATACCCTTGTTAACTTTCTTTCTGTACAAAATACAATCTTTTCAATTATTATTGCTGGTTCATGTATGTGTGTGGTTAGATATATGAAGGGATACTGAAAAGTTCCCAGACCAACCAGAAATGACTTCCTAAAAAATCTGATATTTCATGGTAATTTGGGAAGTGGGTCAAGCTGAGAACTTTTCTGCCCCTGCTTTTTTTTTATACATGTGTGTGTGTGTGTGTGTGTGTGTGTGTGTGTGTGTGTGTGTGTGTGTGTTTATTAATGGACACACATGATTTTTGATTGTTTGTGCATCCTTAGATTTTGTGCATCTGTAGATATGTATGTAATTGTCTCCCAACAATGTCAGTCACATGTGTGACAGTTCTTTTGTGTGCTTGAATACATTTACACATTGTGTGTGTTTGCGCATGTGCGTAAAGAGTGCATATATTTGAATATATTTTTGATGACTGACAGTCTACAGTGAGGTTTGTATGCATATACATGCCAGAACCTTCATAGGTCCAGTGCCTTTATATGTGTATGTGTGTGTGTGTGTGTGTGCTGTAAATGCGTTGCTGGGTATTTTTGGCATTTGCGTGTCCAAAACAATAGCAAGGATGAGAAGAAAGAAAAATCAGAGTCCATTTTGAGTGCTTAGACCAAATCTTCATCTAGGGGTTTGCCAGGGCTGAGTGAAGAGATACACAGTAGGGAGTAAGGAAAAAAGGGGTCCCTGAGAAAAAAAAAGGGACCAGATTTGTATAAATAAACAAAGAATTTAGAAAATAATATTAATAGTAACAATAATAATATAAACAACATCAATAATAATATTATCAGTAATATACAGATAATAATAGTAATAATATTTTTTTTAAATCTGGAAAAAAAAACCAGAAAAAATATAAATGGGGTGGGGAAGGAAAATCATTACTTAATTCACCCACTACCTTCACCCATTCTTTTCAATAATAATAATAATAATAATAATAATAATAATAATAACAGCAATAAAAAAATAATAAAAATAGGCAAAAAATACAAAAAAAAAGAAAACCTCACCCACACCCTCATCTTTCAGATCTTCCACTATCTCTCTCTTCTTTCATTCAATCCATTATTTTATTAACTCCTCCCATCAGCCATTTTTTCAAGTAATCTCTCCTCTTTCTTTCACAGACTCTCTCTCTCTCACACACACACAGACTCTCTTTCTCTCTCTCTCTCTCTCTCACACACAGACTCTCTTTCTCCCACACTCTCTCAATGTTGAATAACCCCATTCTGGCAGAGTCCTATTTTGGACCCATGTCAACTTCATCAGAAAGAGTTGGGCAGAGGAGTCTCCTTGTCAGCAGTCACATTGTTAGAAGAGCCAGGGCAGTACAGTATGGTGGGAGAGAGTCCCTTCCCTCCCACAGTATAAACCCCCAGGGGAAGAAAATAATGGATATTTAGCCAGCATGAATGAAGTGTGACAAACATTTGAAGGGATGAACAGATAGATAGATAGATAGATAGATTTGATAAAAGTGATTATATATATATATATATATATATATATATATATATATATAGTGTGTGTGTGTGTGTGATAGATCGGTTTGATTTAAGTGAGATAGATAGATAGATAGATAGATAGATTTGATAAAAGTCAGATAGATAGATAGGTTTGATTAAAGTCAGATAGATAGATAGGTTTGATTAAAGTCAGATAGATAGATAGATAGATAGATAGATAGATAGATAGATAGATAGATAGATAGATAGATAGATAGATAGATAGGTTTCATTAAAGTGAGATAGGTAGATAGGTTTGGAGAAAGTGAGATAGATTTGATGTAAATGAGACAGATAGATACCAAAGGCACATAATAAAAAAAAGATGAGAAAGAAGAAAAGAAGATGGCTGAGAAAAAATGAAATGGGGATAAAGAATAAAAGAAAATTTAGACAAAGAACAACACAAGAAGAAAGGAAAAAATAAGGAAAGCGGAAACGAAAGTCAGTAAGAAGAATCAATAAGTAAGGAGATAGAGAAAATTGGAATGAAAGCTGGAAATAAAGAAGGCAAGTATGTAAGAATGAAAAACAAAAAAGGAAGTGGAAAGAAGAAGGAAAAAAATTGAAAAACTGAAATAATATAGGCAAGCTGGAAGGAAGGAAAAGAAAACAGGAAGAAAATCGAGAAAAAGAAAGAAAAACAGGAAAATAAGAAAGAAAGAAGGAAGGAATTAAAGAAAAATGAAAAGAAGCAAAATAATTGAGATTGAAAAAAGAAGATGTAAAGAAAGCAAAAAGAAAAAAAGAAAACAGAAAGTAATGCAAGAAAGAGGAAGAAAGGAAGAAGTAATGCAGAAAAGTATGGAAGTAAGGCAAATAGGAAGGGATATAATGAAAACAGAAAAGTATTACAACAAATTCTATAGTAAGAAAAAAGCGTCAAAATAAGATAAAAAAAAAATACGCAGAAATAGGAAAAGTGAAAAAGGTTACATAAAATCAAAAAGAAAGTAATAAAAAAAAAAAGAACCAGAGAAAAAAATATTGGAGAAGAAAGAAAGAAAGAAAGAAAGAAAAAAAACAACCTGGAGAATAAGCAGACGACTTGAGACAATTGAATTAGAATAATTTTAAAAATCATTAAGGAGGAAACTAAAAGAGATGGCGAATAAAGTATGTGAAAAGAGATACCGAAAAAAATAGAGGAGTAGGTGGCTTATATGTCACTGATTGGGTACGTTTGTTTCTTTTAAAAGTTGACCTAGGATTATGTTGGTCACATCCTGAAGCCACTTGAATTGTGGGATAGGAAATCGGAGGTGGAGGTGATTCTTGCCCAGGTGCCTTATAAGAATCTATCAAATAGAAAGGACAGAGCTATTATTGATATGTAAAGAGACTTGTAAAAAAAATACAATAAAGACTGTAAATGTAGTAAAGTAAACAAAAAAAAGATGAGGAAGACAATCAAGGAGAGGAAAAAGGAGTGAAAGGGAAAAGTGAGTGGTATGAGTGGAAAAAAATAGAGAAAGAGGGTGGAACAGAAGAGAGAGTAAAGAAGGAGAAAGTGAATGGAAGGCAAAAGGTGAGTAAGACGAAAGTGAGGAGTAGACGGAGGAAGGAGAAAAAAACAGGAGACTGAATAAGAGGGAAAATGCAAAGGAGAGTTGTGATAAAAAAAAAAAGAAGAAAGCAAGGAAGAAAAAGGAATGCAGGGAAAGACAATGGGAGCGTTAGAAGAGGGCGAGAAGAGAGAATGGGAGTGAGAGAGAGAGAGAGAGACTCAACGCGAAAACGAAGGTAGGAAAATGAAACAGGGCAGCGAAAAGAGAAAATGAGAAAGCGATGAAGGAAAGGAGAAAATAAGAGAAGTGGAGAAAGGCTGAGGTGAAGACAGTAGAGAGGGGAAGGAGAGAAGAAGAAGAGAGGAGAAAGAGGGAGGAGATGAAAGAGGTAAAGGAGGAGGAGAGCAACAAAGCAAAAGTGGGGAGAGTTGATAGAATGAATAGAGGAAAGGTGTGAGAAAACGCAGGAGAGGGGAAAGAAGACAGCAAAGAGAGACGAAAAGAGAAGGAAAAAAAACATGCAAGGACAAAAAGGGGAACATAATGGAAGTGGGAGAAGAGGAGAGAAAAAATCGCAAGAACGCTAAATTCTTTTTATTCTTCTTTTTGATGTACGGGGTGAGGGATAAGAAAAATATTATGAAATAGGAAAAAAAAATTACACCTGGAGGACATATTGTACCCAAAAGTGAAAAGATGAAGATGAAATGAACTCCTGACACTGAAAAATGTAAGGACAGTGTTGCATCGAGGAAGAAAGACAATCAATTATTATTATTATTATTATTATTATTATTATTATCAAATCCACTTGATCTCTAGGACTGTAGCAAATCATAATAAAAAAAAAACATTAATATAAAAGTATAGTCAAAAAGAAACACGCAGACAGACAAAATAGAAGAAAAGAGCACATACATGTAAGTAATCTTAAAGAAAATGTGTTTAGCGTTAATGCAAGGTTTGTTCGGAAAGTATCCATATTAAAAAAAAAATAACAAAAAGCCTGCCTAGGGCAATGGCGCTTTAATGCTCTTTAAAGTATTTACCTGAGTTCACAAGTATTTGTTCCACCAGTTCAGTCCTTTACAATCAGAAAACGACATGGTATTTGTACGGAATCGAATCATCCTCATTTCCTACGTATTCCAAAAGAATTTTCCAATCAGATAGCACCCCAACAAGAACTGTGTAGGGGAAGCTATCTTTGTGGAACACAATCTGGCATGAATGTTTTCCTGATCACTCCAATCTTAACCATCTACAAGTTAACGGTCAGTCGTTTTGTATCCTCCTCATTATAATAATCTTCCTTTCCTATTACCTTTTCTTTCATTCATATCACACATCTCATTCGCCATAACCATTTTAATAATAACATCTCTACTTTGAGTGATGTTTGAGCCTTTTATTGATTGAACATTAATATTAAAAAAAAATCTTAGCGCCCCTTTATCAAAAGAGTCTGCAAAAGTCTTTTTTATGGAATTGCCATCAGCTGCTGTGTTTCGTTGTATTTAATCTTGACCACGGTTTTTCCACGGTAATGTTTTAAAAAAAAAGCCAAAAGTCGATTGTGTCCAAATCTGAACTGTAGTTTGGGTTGACATATTTGGGTGATTGGATATTTTCCGAAAAAAAAAAAATATATATATATATATATATATATATATATATATACGCCACACGAAACGTGAAAACTCTACTCGTTCTGACATTATAAATGAGAAAGGTATCACTGATGGTATTTTACTGTGGATTGAGTAATTCCGTGGGAGAGCGTCTGTTTATTCATACGGAGTAAGGTCCCCTGTGATTGGTAACCAACCACTTCAACACCAACCCATTTTCCAGTATTGACAGAGTTCAGAAGCTTCTTCGCAACTTTGTAGGTGATGAATGGATTTCCACTTACAACCTCTGTCTCGCAGACGACAATTCGCAAGTCTCTTGTCGCTATTTCCATGTCAAATACTCTGACGAGCTGCATACTTTAGTTCAACCAGCCCTGATCCTCACAGTCAAGACACGCCATGCCAAATACACTGAAACAAATTCTCTTCGTATTCAGTTAATAAGAAAGAAGTTGCATTCGGAGAGTTTCTTTACAAGGACCGCTGCTTAGTGGAACAGACACCCGATAGAATCCCCCCCTAAACACTGCAATCTTAACCGCTTTAAGTCTAGCGTTTAATCAATATTTTTCTAACATATCCTTTTAAACTACACTTTTTACCTCTTCCTCTTACGCGCAACAACCATGAATGACTCTATCTTGAGTGGCTCCTGGGCCTTTTATTGGGTTAATAATTAGCATAACAGGTTATTCTACTAGTTTCTTTGTGTAATTAAAAGAAGATATGCACAAGTGCTCCCCACCTATTCTTCCCGAGTAACGATCTTGGTAGACCAGTGACATGATATTTTTATCAAGACATCTGGTAATGCAAGAGAGTACAGGATTCATACCTTTTCCGAGTGTACTAGTGCGAAAAGAAGCATAAGCCAGAAATTAAATCCGGTTAATTGGTTCATTTATTTCTATAATGGTGAACTTGATAGAATTCTATTTTTGTTAATATAGAAACGTACCCAAGGAACAAAAAAGCCAGAAGAATAGACGAACTATCAATTATAAGCAAATAGGTGATATTATCATTAGCAAGAGGAACGGTCGAAAATCCGAGCTATGAACTGGAAACGCCAAAATGAAACAAGTACAAGCATTTAACTAGTTGAAAAATGTGACACAGAAATCTAAAGTCTCATCGGAATAGTGAAAGATGCCTTCTCAAAGCTAAGCAAAATATTAAGAAGCAGGAAAATCTCGTTAAAAAGAAAGAAATATTGCTATGCAACACCAATTCTCCTATGGTGGTTTTATAAGCATAGAAAAGATCGAAATTATTGGGCACCCAGTGAGGATTGACATCAATTCTCCAATGAATTCTCAGTGGATGTTGGACAATTCCCTGGCAAGTAAAGAACAGATTTAAAACAAAATCTTTTGAACAATTTTTGCGTTCATTAAGTCCTTAAAAGTAGACATTGCACGTAGACAAAATAAACTGATTGTAATAAAAAAATATCTTGTTTTGTTCAACGAAACATGTATTAAAGAGAGATTACTACCCAGATACACACACACACTGTATATATATATATATATATATATATATATATATATATATATATATATAAGTATAGGATTAGTATATACAGAATAAATTCCAATAACCAACAAATACTATTCTTAAAAGAATACTCAATTCCGAGTAGAGCAAATTTAATTATTTATTCGAAATTATAACACAAATATGTTATAAAATCATATTTATGTTATAATTTTCAAATATATATATATATATATATATATATATATATATATATATATATATATATATATATATATATAATGAACTCTCCAGTCAATTTCGATGTATGAGGATCCAACAACTTCATTCTGTTTTAATGTTTTTTGTCCTATGTGGCACCTCAGAGGCTCCAGGCTGGTTTGGATTCAAAGTTTTCTTTCTCCTAAACTGGTTGCTAGAACCAGGCTAGAGTAACCTGTCTGTCCTGCTATTTACCCATAGTCCGGGGGAAGGGATGGATTTATGCCTTACCAAAGGCTATTATTAGCACATAAGTGAACGTAATGATTTCAACTGGAATTCGAACTTGGCTCTCCGATACTGCAATCCATTATTCTTCCGTACCATCTCTGTCTCTTCTCTCTCTTTCTGCATACATACATATATATATATATAAGAGAGAGAGAGAGAGAAAGGGGCACGGTAGAGTAATGTACATTATATATATATATATATATATATATATATATATATATATATATAAAAGTGAACATAGAAGTCAACACTTAGAGGCGACAGTCTGTTTCATGCTAGATGCAATCGTCAGACCACCTTATATGAGGGAGAGAGAAAGGGCATAATTTACCGTTAAATCATGAAGTGTCTATCAGTAGACAAGGTGGGCTCCTCATAAATGCACTGGAACAGAAATATGGATTTTATATATATATATATATATATATATATATATATATATATATATATATATATATAAATGTGTGTGTGTGTGTGACGACAGGCCCACCCAGTCCTCACCCATATGAATGAATACGCATACAAAAGAAAACAGAATGGTAGGTGGGGGTAATAAAAATACTACTTAAGTGCAAGATGACTTCTTTGTTGAGGTGATTGATTGCAATGAACAGGTGAGCAACCATCATTTTCAGATTTTTCAGCCGTCAAGCAAATGTCTGCATGATATTGGGCACTTACCTACAAAGAAGGAAAAAAAACGTTTATTATTTCATAAAAACAAAACAGATGACAAATAAATCAACAGAAAATATATATTTGATCCAAATGCATTGTCCCCTTGGACGTAATGGAGAAACCTGACTAAAATAAAAAAAACATATACATTCTGTTGTCTTTAACCAAAAGGCAAGAAGTAACACACACACACTGTCTGAAGATCGCTTAAGGCGAGAAACTGATAGTGGCCATGCAGTGTTGATACCGCTGTCAACAGTGTCTGAATTTATAAACAATATGTCAAATATGACAAACTCTTCCCCTATAAATATAGTAAAATTGTGTGTGTGGCCGAGTAATTAGTGTTAGTGGACTGACCTTGTGACCTGGGTTCGAATCTCAGCATGGTCTATTTATCATGGAGATGACTTCTCAAAAATATCGGTCTTAGAAGACAATACATGCAGTGGCATTGTTGAGGATATATATATATATATATATATATATATATATATATATATATATATATATATATATATATGTAACAGCGTTTCCGTTGCGAGGGGTGGTTAATTGATTTGAGCCTTTTAAAACCCTTTATTCTACATTCAACATCATCACTTGATAAGACACCAGAGGTGTTGAAACAAAATGGCTATTTTTGTAGTGATTTTATAACGTATTTATGTTATAATTTTTAAGTAAATAATTATATTTGCTCTACTCTGTATTGAGCCCTCTTTTAAGAATAGTTATTGTTGGTTATTGGAATTTATTCCGTATATACCAATCCTATACTTGGATATATATATATATATATATATATATATAGGGAAAAGGTTATAGTTCTAACGAGAGAAAAATGCATATTTTTAAAAAAAGAGAGAAACTGCAAACGTTTTTGATTATAATATGGATTTGTCAAATGTAGTACAAATACAGAAAACGAGCAAATGAAAGAATAATTCTGTATTTGTATTTAAAACGAACAATGAAAGACTAGTTCTATATTTGTAGTACAATGAAACATTAAAAGAACATAAGGAAAATTTATTCCTTTAAAAATTGATTCCTTTTATTTACCTGAAGAAGGTCACGAGACCGGAAATAGCTAAAATATGAAGAGTAAAATATAATATATACACTAAAACAAATACACATTATAACCAAAATCGTTTGCGTCTCTCTCTCTCTCTCTCTCTTATATATATATATATATATATATATATAT